GGCTGTATAGCTGTCGAGTCATTGGGTGCCTTGTAGACGTTGAGAAAAGTAATGCCGTTCACTTCAACCCAGCAATAGTCTCCTGTAGACACAACATAGGGAAAGATCTGTTTTGCCGATATCTTTTTATCGTCTATCCGGGTATAGGTCACAGCCCTCGGCCTAGCATTTTCGCCGCCGTTAGGCAGATGATAGGTATATCCTGGGTGATCCTTTGTCGTATTCTTTTGTTTATTCCACAGAGGTTCTTGAACAAGAACCACGTCGATACCCAGCTCAAATGCTCGGGCAAGTGCAATATTTTGCGTTGAGCCCCCTCTACCTACGTTTATTGACATAAAGCTTAGAGTAGGAGAGAGGCTCGAAGAGACACGTGGGGTGCCCTTCACAAAGAATTTTGCTGATTTGATGCCTCATCGACCTCGGCTACAGTCGCTGTAGCGTCGGACATGAGAACTTCAAAACAGTTGGTCGATTTGAAACCTGGCTGGTTAGTATTTGACGCTACTGCGGCTGCTGTCATCGCTGCCTCTGCGCGTTTGACAGCTGCTTTGGCCCGAGTGACTGCTGCGAATTCGCGTTGGCTAGCCTGCCTTATAGTCTGAAGGTTTTCCCTAGAGGCCATTCCAGACTTTGTTGGACGAGCTAGACAGTCCCGACTATCTGACCTGTGTGGACCTCCACAGTTGCGGCACTTGGTGTGTGCCTTGCACTCCGCGATGGAATGCATAGTTGAAGTACAATTCCAGCAGGCTGGGGCGCGCGAGCAGCCTCTGGTGCCATGGAATTGTAGGCATCTTTTGCACTGGTTGATGCTTTGTCGAGGCTGGTGGCGGACTGCAATCCCAGAGTCGTCGAAAAGTCGGAAGCCTGGCCGAGGAATCGATGCTTTTTCGAAAAGGGCTACCCATGACTGGTATGGGGCTCCAAGTCGGCTTTTCCCATGTGGGCGAACTTTTACAGGGACAGCCTTGGTGACCCTGACTATTTCGTCTGTTACCATCTCTTCAGTGACGATTACTCTGCCCATTATTGTATTAATGGCAACTGGGACTGTTGCGATTCTAAGTGAGCCCAGGTCCGATGCTTCTTCCAGTATGGCATCTTGCTGGATGAGGGACCCAGCTAGGCTTAATATGATGGCGCGTGCCTCTTGGTTTTCGGCTCTAATTGCGAAGCCAGTTGGAACACGGTATACGTGCTCAATATTGGCTTGAGGAATTTCAAGCACTTTTGCCACAGCCTCTCTAACACCAAACGGTGATAGCTTTCTCCAAGGGTGTTCATTTCCAAGGCGAAGAAACAAGCGTTCATCTTTCATGGCTGATTGCATTGGGGTGGTCGGGTTTTTTGACGGCCGCGTCGAGTTTGCCGCCATTGGCATAGCCTGTGCGACTTTTGTAGCTGCCGGGGGAGTCTTTATACCGGTGCGGGTGATTGACGCCCAAGTGGTTTTGGCCTGGGAGACTTTGTCATGAGTCACTTTACTTTGTGGCTCATCCTGCTTTTTGGCAGCACGTTCTATAGTCTTGCTGCCAGTAGCCTGGCTTTCGGGGCGTGGGGGAAGTGATGGGAGGACTGTACCTGGTCCCGCGATCATAAATTGAGCTATTGCAGCTCTAATGTAGACTTTCATAGAGTCTATAAATTGAACACTCGACCCTTTGGATAGGGGGGACAGAGCATTCTCGACACCGTTTATTGCAGCGGTGCAAATTTTTACATTTTCCGCAGTTTTTGCGGCCCGGCGTTCCTCAGCCTCAATCAAGGCTCTGAGTTCGGGGGGGCATTCATCCGTCTGCCTGCCTTCATTTCCACTGTGAGGAGAAGGATTCTCTTCTGTGGTTCCTGGTGTATGTTCCAGGGGGTTTGGGGTAGATGCTGCACCTTTTGACTTGTTAGCATCTGCAATCGCATCCCGCCTCATAGCTGGCACAGCGACTTCAATGAGAGGAAGTGTATGCTGTCCGGTAGTCGCTGTCCCTAAATTGTTGCGACTCGTCGCTGCATTTTCAGCTCCGGTCGCATCTGGCTTGGAGTGAATTGAGTTAGGTAGTCTTTTCAGATTCTTAAGAATCTTGTCAATGTCAAAGTTGCCAACATCTATCATATCACAATCTGTGGTACTTTCGTCGATTAATTGGTCGATGTTCATCTCTTGAACGGCAGTCAGTGGGCCCAACTTGACGCTTGCTTTCTGTCGAGCAACGTGTTTGAGGTGCTTGCGGTTATCTACGATGTCTTTCGCCCGCGATGGCTTACTGCGAACTGGGGGCATATTGGTAGCCTGCCAGTCGCTCACAAATTTTGAATTAAGGGCGTACGATATCGAGAGAGGGAGGGAGAGGGGGAAAGGGTGAATATTCGAAAATTCGAATTTCAAAAAATTGTGAGTGTGTGTGTGTGTGTGTTTTTATTGTACTACTTGAGTCTATGACTATCCAGCACATTAGGCTCCTCTCTGACCCAGGCCACACCTTGTACAGTGCTCCTATCCTCTTTTGTTACTTCAAAGATCATTGATGTATTCCCCTTGATGAATAGCCATTCAGCTCAGTATTTACCCGTGGAATTCAGCCACCTTTTCCACGGAACCTTCTACCCAAAAAAATAAAAATGGTAGCAATGGAAACTGCGTGCGCGATAAAAAGTCTCAAAAAACCTGCAACCCTAGCCAAGCGAGGCCTAGGCACTGGGACCATACGAGATGCGCATATTCATCTACATCTCCCATCTTTGTAACATTCGAGGCCATCTTGATCCAATCCACCATCTCCGTATCGGGTGCTGGGTACGCTCCGGAAACTCATCGGATGGCTTTTCCTCCATGATCAAGGGTGGGTGACGAGTAGGGCTCCGACCCTACCATCTGATCTGATCGTGGTTAGCTTCATGATAGTGGTGATAGGGGAATGTGTTGAGAGATGAAGACGATACAGACTGCGAAAGCGATTGGGAATCCTCTTCGAAGTGAGGACTTTGTTACTCAATCTCGGCTCTGCAGACTCTACAGTGAGAGCTGGAGGTTCGTAGGGGACACCACTGACAGGTGTTGAGAATAGTCCCCTGCAGATACCCTGAATTCAGCAGGTATCCTGCTATATATATTGAAGCTTTTTGTAGACTTCACCGAGGGTTGCTGTACCCTCAGACTTCTTCCTCGGATTCCAGGATTCCGAACCCCGATCCCTCGGCCATCGAGACATCCTTCGTTGAGGCCATCGTTGCCTCTTCGGCCCTTTTCGCTGCAGCCCTAAATCGAGCCACTTTCGCGAACTCCCCTTGCTGGATCTGGCGGATCCGCGCGAGCTGCTCTTTTGTATATATACATATTGTCGGAAAGTAGTTCATTCTGCTCTGCACTAAGCGTAGTGCATCTCTCAGTTGCTGAGTCATTGTATTGATGACCCAGCCAATACCAAGAAATACACGTTCGCAATGTTCACAGATAGATAATAGAAGAATACAAGAATCCATACCTCACTTTCGTACCTTTCGTTTTGCATTGAACTAACCTTACGTATACGTAAAATAAGGCCAATCGACATATATATAATTCTATATCCTGATTTGGCGCCTTGAGGCACATGCAGGTTTTTATCGGAAGTTATGTACTTTAAGTAGGATGACTCAATTTGACCTTTAGAACACCCACACTTAGATTTCATTTGCAGATATCACTCGAGGTTAACCCATACGGCGTATAACCTCTTCCGTGCATACCCACTATAGGGAAAAGCGTGAAAATCCTACGGTTATCCGAGTGTGCTTTCATCATTCCACAACTAAAATATCACAGCGAGATTGTGTGAATTGTGGGGTTTACCGGATTTGAACCAGCCAACTCCTGTCTCAAATGGGGTAGATGTTCAAGCTACCCACAATCTACTTGAGAGAACGCCTTTAATGGTGTACCACTGCACCATCCAACCCTCGCAGTGGCATTTGCAAAAGAAATATGAGGCATGAGTGCTCTTCCTTTATGTTGAATCATCAAATCTGTACTTCTCTTTGATATTGTGCCATAGCTAGATAGCTGCATACGCAATTAAAATCTGATGCAAAAAAAAGGGCGAAAATGAATGATATTGTCCAATCCCATGCGAGAACAAAGTGTCTACTACAAAAATTTGCACACATTTACAGTTGGATGTCAAGAGGCCTTGAAGAATAAATTCCACTGAGATCTTGTGAGCGCTCTGCAGCGTAATCCTCACTTTACTAGAACACACGGTGCCGATAGGGCAAATTTCAGATAAACTTAGCCTTTTCCAGTATAAAGGCGAATCGCTTTGCATCATGCAAGGTGCCTAAGTAGGACATTGAATAATCAAAGGGAAGAATTTGCTGTAACTTCAGGTCACGTTCGAGGTGAAAGTTTGGTAAAGATTTCTAAGAAGAATGCCTGAGGATACAAATATTTACTGAACATTTCATGTGCTATGTGATTTGAAGCACGTGACTATAGTCATAAGATTTGAGCTCACACGATATTAACGTGGGTTAGTTCCTAGACTGTGCCCTGGCATTATATGGCAAGAATTACGGCGATTCATGTAAAAAATTTACGAGCACAGAGAGATTTAGCAATTATATGAGGATGATGCTCATCAAAGGAGAACCGGCGGATATGTTTGACGAGAGAACATCGGGGCTGTTGATCGGTGGACCCTCTGGTTCGCCATGAAGCGAGGGTTCTGCTAGTGTCAAGTCGAGAAAGCTCCTTGTAGTCATTCTCCTTCACCAATCCGTAATCAGCTCGAGTTTGTCTCCACTACCTCTTCAAGATTTCATCGTTACTTAACAAGGAAAATTTATGTACCGGGATCTTGCGCGTGATTCATTCGTGGCAGCTCTAACCAAATTGCGCTTTTTCAGCGCAGCTTCTTGCCGGCTCCTGCCTCTCGGCGTCACCTGGTTCTCAGCGCCTAGTCGACTTTACGCCCGAAACTTTCGAATATTCATCAGAACAGCCAGGTAGAGAACTACACCCTTGCTTGATGATGGCACAAGTGCCCTCATCAAGTAGTCTGGATATCAAGCGAGTTAAAGTATACGAGTTGAAGAATGGCGAATGGTTAGATTCAGGAACTGGGCTTTGCACCGCACTATTTGTTCTGGTATGTATGGTTTTAACTTGTTGCGCGTTACCCTTACTGCGGCAGCAGTGAATACGCAAAGGTTCATCTGGCTGACCATTTCCCTGCTTACAGGATGACGCCACTCGTTCAGAGGAACCCCGTTTGCTGGTCCATTCGGAGAGTAAACCCGATATTATGCTACTTGACACCAATATTTTCAAATCCGAAAGCTTCCGAATGCAATCTGGTATAAAGACGATTCTGAGATTAAAAAATACTTGCTGACTCTTGAAAATCAGTGACCCTCATCATATGGAATGAATATACTACAGGCCTAGATACAGCTTTGAGCTTTCAAGAATCCGAAGGATGTGCTATTATATGGTAAGAATATTTACCATACTCATCACGACAGCTCTGCTAACAAGTCTGGACTGTGACAGGAAATTTATAAATAGTATTCAGCAACAACTGCACAACATTGCGCATGTCTCAGGTTCTCGTGAGTCTAGAGCTTCTGAGTGTAAAGTGTTTACCGTCTCTCTAATTCCTACCAGATGCTCTTCAAGAAGACGCACTATCCGACGAGATCACATCAGATCCATACCATAGTCCAATCCCTCCATTATCTCCCCTATCTCCTTTACCTCATGTGTCCTTACCATCACCTGGACTCGGCTCCCTTCACGAAATAGAATCGCAAATGCGTGGACTCCACAACACCGAACATGGGAGGGAGGCCTTAACAAGGTATGTCCTGACGGAAGAGTACGTTCAAAAGTTGGTTCCGTTGGTGGAAACGGCAGAGGATATGGAGGATTTGGCTAGCTTGCACCATTTATGCAATATCATGAAAACTCTCATATCACTCAACGATACCACTATTATAGAGTTAATGGTAACTGATGATATTGTCATGGGTGTTGTTGGTGCTCTCGAATACGACCCATATTTTCCCAGTCACAAAGCTAATCATCGTCAATGGCTGTCAAAAGAAGGAAGATACAAAGAAGTGGTTCCAATCGACGAAGAAATCCGCAACAAGATACATTCAACTTATCGTCTGCAATATCTCAAGGACGTGGTTTTAGCCAGAATTCTAGATGATCCCACGTTTTCTGTTCTTAATTCTCTAATATTTTTCAATCAGGTCGATATCGTTCAACACCTGCAGACCAATCCTGTATTTCTCAACGATCTATTTGGGATTTTCAAAGAGGAGGAAATAAATCAGGAGCGCAAAAAAGAGGCAGTCCTTTTTATACAACAGTGTTGCGCTGTGGCTAAAAATCTTCAGCCTGCTTCTCGACAGCAATTGTACAACAACTTTCTGAACTATGGATTACTCTCTGTCATTAAATTTGCCCTGCGTCACAGTGATTCTGGTGTTCGTATTGGAGTCACAGATATTCTTGTGTCAATGATAGACCATGATCCTCAAATGATTCGTCAAACTATTTTCTATCAAATGAATGGAAAGCAAACTCCTCTCACAAATTCCTTAATTGATCTCTTACTAGTAGAGCCAGACTTGGGTGTGAAAGCACAGGTTGCTGATGCGATTAAGGTGCTTTTAGATCCAGGTACGATGAACAGGCCACCCGAGAATTTAACAAAACCAAGTAGTGAGCAAAGCGCTCGAATGCGACAACAAGACATGCAGCAAGCCGAATTTGTCAGAGAATTTTACGATGAGCCCGCCCGAAAACTTTTTAGGCCTTTGATAGATTTGAAGGACAAGAAAAACATGGTCTTTAGTGTTCAGGAAATATCCTTATACATCTACCTTATTGAGATTCTTTGTTTTTTTGTTCGCCAACACACACACCATAGTAAATATTTTATTCTATCGGAAAAGTTGGGACATCGAATCGCGCAGCTCTTATCTTGTCAGGAGAAATATCTTAAGCTGAGTATGGATCTCTTCGGATATTCATAAAATACAAATTTCTAACCTTATAATAGGTGCATTGAAATTTTTTCGTAACCTAGTTGGATTACAGGACGAATTTTATAATCAGCAGATGACCCAAGGAAAGCTCTTTGGGCCCATTCTCGATCTAGTTCTTGAAACTATGCCTCGCGACACGCTTCTCAATTCAGCAGTCTTTGAACTTTTTACATTTATCGGCAGAGAGAAGATCAATGACTTGAACAGCCACTTGGTTGAAAACTACCGAGAGAAAATGGAAAAAATAACTTGCGTCAATACCTTTTCATATTTAATAAACAGATATGACAACACGCAAGGGTTCACTGTCATTGTTGCAGAAACTCAAGATGAGGTTCTCAAGAACGATCGGCCATTTATAGGAAGCCGATGGGGTATGGGGCTGAAGGACCTTGACGCCCAAGAGGAGGAATATTTCAATAGCTCAGACGATGAAGAAGAAGCTCTTAAGAATGAGTTACGGGAAGGGCCACATCGGTCATATTCTTCCTCGAAACCGCTTGTGGACTATCTTTCCGATGAAGAGAACGATTTAAATGCTGATAATGAGTCTCGATTACGATCCAACGGAAAAGACGACAACGTGGTTCCCAGTCGCTCTCGTGGAGCTTCGAGACGTCAATCAATAGGATTTTCAGAAATGCCCAGTATTGCCTTTGAAAAGCTGTCAGAAAAGCGACGTCATGAAGCTGACGAAGTTGACGAGTTGGACAAGCTCTCGCAGGCCAATAAGCGTCGTAACTCCATAAACTCGACTGGCTCAAACGGTATTCGTAAAAAAATGGCATTTTCGAACGGGTCCGCTGGTCATTCACCAAAAAGTAAGATTGCCATCAATATATCAGCTTTAGGTAAAAGATCTGTTGAACCTCTTGAAATATCAGGAGTTTCAAAAAATTCACTTGGGACGGGTAAGGTAGATTTGAAGTGATAATGCTCTATCAAGGCCACTCGTCGAGGTGCAGAATAATACCAAGGCGTCGGTGGAGTCTGGAGTTTCGGATAGGGCTATGAACAGGGGATACTGGGATAGCTTCTAGCTAGGCGCGGCGAGCATTTGCTCTCGGTTTATGAGGCGTGACTTGCTTGTATGCTGTATCATAGATTCCGGGGTTTGGGATGAGCATGAGGGGTAACACAGTATATAAATCTGTCGGCGCATAATTAGATACGCACATTACTGACATATATCCACCACAATGCCTAGCAGAAATTATGAAATTCACGTGAGTAGCTTTTTGTGTGGCTCATAAACCTCAGCGGGCATAGACGAAATTGTTGCCGAGGAATCGAATCCACTGTTTGCTCGCAAAAACTATCAATTGACTGAACCGTCTCTTTAATCGCTTTAGAAAATATACCTGGCGCCAAGAGCAAGAGTGGATTAATGAACCTGTCTTGCGAAGAGCTAGCGACTAGCTGGGATCTATTGCTGTCTATCGATTGTGAAATAGCTAAATAAGTGTGTTATTATATCTCTTGTCACCTCGGGCCGCGTCTGGCTAAATAAGATGACATTATCCTCGCAACCGTTGGGAGCCTGAATCAGTGGTATGCAAACTGTGACATATCTCGTACTAAGATCCTCGCAAATAACCCCGACGGACTTCTGATATCGATGAGTCTACGGCACTCCCAAGCGCCCTGGACGACACAAAAGAAGTTGGGCTACGCTGCCATACAGCAACCACGCTCTGTCAAGACTTTTCTGATATTTCAGCACGACCTTCGGGAAGGAGTTGGAAGGGGGCTAGAAAGGCAGAGGGTGAATTTCCCGAGGTACATACAAGTCTGCAGCGCTCAGCTGACCGGCCTCTTCGAACGCTTCAGAAGGGTCACTTGGTCTTCGGATTAAGTCCTAATATCGATATTAGAAGAGTCTCGCACCCAGTGGTTTTTGCAGTATTTCACTGCAGCTACACACCCGCAAATGGCCATCGTTTCGTTGGCTGGAGAGGGGAAATAATGACGGGATAACGGCTCCCCCTAGTGTGTACTCGAGTGAAGACTTGTGGGGTTATTACTGCTGGAAAGAAGTCGTGAATTAGGCGTGGGAGGGAGTACACTACCCGAAGCATAGATACTCCTGGCCTGTTGGCAGAAAGGACCTACATGTCCTTACATAGTCATAGACTTCGTAGGACAATAAACAAAAAATAGCTAGATAGCTGCATACGAAATTAAGATCTGATGCAAAATGTAAAGACACTTTCCTTGATCTAGATGTGTAAAGAGGTGTTTTCACACTAGTGGATGTTCAATCATATCTCCTTGTCTAACCGACAAGAGAAGGATGTGAGAGATCTTTGCGCCAATTGATAACATTAGGAAATTATTAGGAATTTTAGTACCAATAAGTGATGGTCTAGGTCAATCATATCTCGCGGCGCATGTACATACTATTTTAATGTGAACCGTTTGTTTTAACGCAGTAATGTTGCTCCCCTGATTATAACAGCCGGTACATCATCCAGTACAGTCTGCTGGTCAGAGTCTGACTGGCTTGGGAACTCATCCACATGAAACAAGATGACGCTGATCCGAATAAACAAAAAGTGTTCGACAGTGTTGATACACATGGAATTAAAGATAGGTGCATGATGAGTATGGTACAATCTTCTGTTATGCAATATATTGAGCTCAGTATCACAAAAGGGGCTCATTCGGGATTCGAACCCGAGGCCTGTCACATGGAGCATCTAGTTTCAATACAAACTGGGTTTCACCCGAAGCAACAATCATACCACTAGACCAATGAGCCATGTCTGCCATCATAACATATACATATATATACCACATACAGATACGCGGCTTCCGTTTTAAATGTCAAGCTGATTACTCGCTGACTTTGTAAAGACATTGGAAAAGGGGATAACGAAGAGATTATGAGATTTTAAGTTGTGTCTTATTTGTTAGTTTGATAGACAATAATACGGAAAATCTATTCTCATGCATTTATAGTATATTATTAATATTTTTATTGAATTTGATTTCATTATCTTAATTTGGCGACCTATGGGTCCATGCAGGTGTTTGTCAAACCTTTTAATACATATACAAGGAAACCTTGCAGTAAAAACCCCCTTAGCTATCTGATTAAATTCTGGGCGATTCTAGTCTTACCTTAAAGAAGTACACCCACACTTTTGTTGCCAGTGCGGATTACGTCCTTGTCCTGTGTTTCCATTTTCCTCTCTTCGCCTTATTGACGCCTAGATTTCTCCAGTTATCCGAAATTGCTCTGGCCATCTTTCCTTTTGAATCCACTGTGCAATTCAATTCATATTTTTGACTATTTAATATAGCTTCGAAAAATAGAGTTGTCAATTTTCGTAGCAACCCACCTCCTCCCTTTGCCCACCTTGGACAAGACATCACCATGTGCTTTATATTTTGGGACGGATAGTCATATTGGTATTTAAGTTTTTCTACTCCTAGTACGTTCCTTCGGTATAAGTAAGAATGGTGCCCGATTTGCTCGCTTCTTACTTGTGTGGCAATGCTGCTCTGGGCCCTGCTAAGGTTTTGGTGGATTTGGGTAGGTGACTATATTTCATCATAAGTCTACCTGTTTTCTTGTCATTGTACATATTTACAGCTTATCAAGTCTTTATTACTATTACAATAATTATTATTTCTGGATTGGGTCCTAAGCTAATGCTCTAAGTTCACCTTAGGTGCAGGACCGGTGGAGCCGGTCGAGTTCCCTGTGATTTGTTCCACGGCTCAACTCATTCTAACCGCGTGAATCGCTACAAAAGTTGCAGCAGATTAGAACAGAAACCAAAACAACACTGAGAAAGAGAAGATATCCTCAATTTGGATTCAGAAAATGCGTCTATTACCTCCCTTTCTTCGTCATATGTCAAAGATGAAAATATTGCTCAATATCTGTTGATAGCAGATGATGAGTTAACGAGTTTCTTCCACAACCATCAGCCCCCTCTCCGCGATATATTGGAAGCCATTCTTGAGTTCTCTCAGTTGTCTTTCACCCTTATGCCTGTACCTCGGGTTTCAAGGCCTCAAAGCTAAGTTCCTTGAAAATCATCGTATCTGTCGAGGTAGGTTGATATCCTGTCTCATCATTCATTGCAGCAGTCTTAGCTCAGGGAACTGCAATGAATTCTCTTTGACTGACCTATCGAATCGTGACAAGTTGTCTCCTTGCCACTGGGCTAGCTCGGTTTGGCAAAGCCAAGCAAACTTGACCATCCGAACCGTGAAGGCCACTATAGTTTTGACACATGGTGTTTTCTTCGCAATCCGTGGCTGAGTGCATTGTTGAGCCGCATTTACATATAGCCATTCTAGACCCGTCGAAAAAGTAGAAGCCCATACGGGGTGCAAACTCCCGAGGAAAGGACATGCCAGTTATTTTGACACCATAATATCTGTTGATTTAGTACATGATGTGATGAGAATTCCTTATGATGCTGCTCTAAGTTCGCTGTGTGACAATGAAATTAGAAGTACCAAACTTTAACTGGGAAGTGGTATGCGCTAGGTGGAGTTAGGTGTTATGATATGGGACAACGAGGTAGTTGAGGCCAGGGCATAGAGTGTGGCTCTAGGCCACAGCATATATCATTAGTGTAATAGTTAGGCGAGCATATATATAGTTTCAAAGACGTACCCAAAATAAATGGATACAGGTTTATTGTTATACTTTCTGTCCATATACCTACAGCGTAGTATTGTATGAGTCTACTCACTGTCACCCAATAAACATAACTTCATTCACTCCTCACGACTCCGCAATATGACTTCCGCATAGCTCATAATCACAACCATAGTTCGAATCTCAACAATTCTAGTTGGGAATGCGCATAGATGGAAGGATGTGATAGAAATTGGGGTTAAATGTTATGTATATATAGACCTGCTCATATAGAAGAAAAATACCATCCGAATTTTACCGCGCAAATTGCGATTCGGCGCTCAGGGACGGTAAGTCCCATGTGGCAGCACCTATATGACTCTTCTAGGGTTACTCTAGCGACATAATCAAAGACCAATTCTGCGTCGACTGTTTCAGCGCCCTTCATAGTAATGACCTTCACTGGCACGTTGTCTATGCGGAAGGCGACAAAGTTCAAAGATGACTAGATTTGGCGTTGACTCTCTCCAATTTCGATCAGGCGCCTAGAAGGCCTTTTTTTTGTTCGTCGTTTTTTGCCGAAATGGAAAACCCCGACTTAACTCGGTGTATCGAGCTACTAGTAATTGAAGCACATATGGTATGTTCCAAGAATGCGAATAAGATATCCATGGGAGGCGTTTCCCACCACGGGTGGTTGCTGTCAAGTCGTAGGAACGGTTGTTTGTTCAATTTAACCTTGACAGCCTGTTTTTTTTGGGCTGTAGTCGCAGGTTGCAGCGCAGCCTTGACTATCGGGATTGCTTATTGTCGCAGTCTATTTCGTGGCAGCTTTCTCCGGAAGTTTTAATGCAGTCGGAGGAGATTTGGACGATTCTCCAATCCAATGGGGGATAGAGGCTGGTTGAGGAATTTCCTCAATAAATTCGGCCGACCCTATCATGTGAGTATCTGGTGCAGAGATGGTAGGTAAGGCATTTTCCTTCTATTTCATTGTGGCCTTGCCCATCTCCACGCATTTTGGAGACTATGCAAGGCCCAGCGTTTGATCGAGAGCCCTCGGGCGGACTCTCGTGTTGTCCAACATGGCGTTAGGACGCTTTTTCCGAATGGGTGGCACTATAAGAATGTCGGAAGCTCGATCACAATCTTCCGAATATGTGTGGCGAGCGCGAGAGGGGGGAGAAAGGGAATAGGAATATTCGAAAGTTTTCGTGAATAGTAGTACTAATGATGTGTCAGCTATATGGCAGCATATGCAATTAAAATATGATACAAGAAATCAAAAAATTCCTTTGTTATACCGTCAGCATAATTTCTGTCTCCAATAA